CTCATAAGTGGGAGCTGAACAATGAGAACACATGGACATAGGGAGGGGAACATCACACACCAGGACCTTTTGAGGGGTGGGGGCTAGGGGAGGTATAACATTAAGAGAAATACCTAATGTAGGTGACAGGTTGATGGGTGCAGTAAACAACCATGGCACAGGTATCCCTATGTAACAAAACTGCACGTTCTGCACGTGTACCCCAGAACTTAAAATATAATTAAAAAAAAAAAAAGAATTGCAATTGCTCTCAACAGCTCTTGGTATTACCAAAGGTTTTCCTTTTTTCAGCAATTCTAATAGGTGTGTTTGGTTTTAGTTTACAAGTCTCTAATGTTTAATGATATTGAACATCTTTTTGTGTTTTATTTGCCATTTATATATTCTGCAAAGTCCTGTGACAGATGTGACTTGCAAGTTTTTTCTCCTGGGCTATAGTGTTTTCATTCTCTTAATAGTATCTTAAGTCTTTTAATTTCGGTAAAGACCAATTTATCAACTTTTTCTTTTATGGATCATGCTTATGGTACCATGACTAAGAATTCTTTTCCTAATCCCAGGAAGAGATTTTCTACTATGTTCTTTTCTAAAATTTTTAGAGCTTCACTTTTACATCTATTATCCATATTGAGTTCATTTGTGTATGAGCTGTAAGGTTTTGTTTTCTTTTGTCTGTTTTGTTTGTTTATATGAATGTTCAGTTGTTCTAACATCGTTTGTTGAAAATGTGATCCTTTCTTTATTGAATTACCTTTGCACCCTTGTCAAAAATCACATGGCCATACTTAAGCAGCTACCTTTCTGGACTCGATTCTTTTCCATTGATCTCTGTGTTCCTATGCAGTACCATACTGTCCTGATTACTGTAACTTTGCAGTATGACTTAAAACTGAGTAGCATGATTCCTACAGCATTATTCTTATTTTTCGAAATTGTTTTAGCTATTCTAGTCCTTGGCCTTTCCATGTAAACATTAGAATCAGCTTGTCTGTAACAACAAAATGTCCTGGCGAGATTTTTGGCTGGAATTGTTTTAAATCTCTATATCAGTTTTGGCAGAATTGGCAACTTTTTAAAGTTAAGTCTTCCAATCTTCAAATATGGTGTTTCTTGTTATTTGTTTATATCTTCTTTGAGTTTTTTCACTGGTATTTTGTAGCTTTCAGTAAGATGTTTATCTATTTCATTTTCTGGTACTTTCTATGTGGTACTTGGTTTTCAATTTTCCTATCCAATCACACACTTCTGGGTGTGATGGCTTTTTTTTTTTTTTTTTTTTTTGAGACGGAGTCTCGCTCTGTCGCCCAGGCTAGAGTGCGGTGGCGCGATCTCAGTTCACTGCAAGCTCCGCCTCCAGGGTTCATGCCATTCTCCTGCCTCAGCCTCCTGAGTAGCTGGGACTACAGGCGCCCACCACCATGCCTGGCTATTTTTTTTTATTTGTAGTAGAGACGGGGTTTCACCATGTTAACCAGGATGGTCTTGATCTCCTGACCTCGTGATCCACCTGCCTCAGCCTCCCAAAGTGCTGGGATTACAGGCATGAGCCACTGTGCCCAGACTTGATGGTTAATTTTATGTGTCAACTTGGCCAAGTCATGTCATGGTACACACTTTGGGCTCAAACACCAGTCTAGCTGTCACTGTGAAGAAATGTTTTAAATGTGATTGACACTTAATCAACTTTGAGTAAAGCAGATGACCCTCCATAATGTAGCTGGGCCTCATCCAATCAGTTGTAGACCTTGAGAAAAGAGACTGAGGTTCCTTGGAAAAAAGGGAATTCTACCAGCAGATGGCCTCCAGACATGAGCTGCAACATCACCTCTTCCCTGGGTCTCCAGCCTGACAGCCTGTTCTGTAGAATTCAAATCTGTCAGCCCCTCCAATCGCACAAGCAAATTCCTTAAAATTAACCAATCTCTCTCTCTGTCTCACTCTCCCTCTTTTTAAACACACACACGTGTGTGTCTTTCACATATACATGTGTGTATATATATGTGTGTGTGTATCCTATTGGTTCTGTTTCCCTAGAGAACCCTAATATGCTGACGTATAGAAATACAATTGATTTGTTTTTGTGTGTGTTAACCTTATATCCTGCAACCTTGTTAAACTCACTTATTAGTTCTAAGAGGTTTTTGCAAACTCCTTGGGTCTTTGACATAGACAATCGTGTACACTATGAACAAGAACTGTCCTCTCCAGGGTGGGAGGGGCACCAGGTTAAGAGTTGGGCATCTCCTTGTGATGTCCTTATTTGCTTAGGTCCTGCATGAAAGCACACAGTGCCCTGGCTCTTGAAAAGCATGAAAATCCTGAGAGAAAGCAACACAAAGCTTTCTCCGTTGTGAGGTGGTGAGGAGGGGATTAGGACACTAGGTGAGAAAGGACAGGCCTAGACAATGAAGGGGCCAGTGGGCAGATGGGTAAAACCACCTGCTCCTCAAAACGGCCAGGCTCTGAGATGAAGCAGGAATCTGCACTTAAACTGAGGCTAGATCCATCCCAAGGATTCAAGTGAGTCTGGCATATGGACAGGAATCCCAGTGGAAGTCTTTTTGTGGAGTGAAGGGCGGGGGTGAGTTGCAAAATTTTCTGGACCAGAACTTATTGTAGGAAAAGAAGAATTGAAACTGGGCATGAGCTCCTGCTTACGGTCCCAGCTACTCAGGAGGCTGAAGCAGGGGGATTGCTTGAGCCCAGGAGGCTGCGGTGTGCTGTGATCACACCTGTGAATAGCTGCTACGCTCCAGCCTGGGCGAGAGCGCAAGACCCCATGTCTAAGAAAAGAAAGGAAAGAATTCAGGCACTGTGAGGTTAGTAACCTAGGAACAAAGCTTCAGAGCATTCTAAGTATAACAGAAAAAAAAAAGTTTTACTTAAAGTCCATAAAATCCTGGGACATTAGCATCCTTTTTTGGAAACCCCTCTCTTAAACTGTAACGCTAGGGAAACAGAGGTTCCCACAGACAAACAGAGCACATGGCCCCAGTGCCCGGCAGAGCGACGTGGAGCTGCAGAGTCGTGCGGGGACTAATTTGTACACAAGCACATGAAACACCCCCACAGGAGCCCAGATGTTTACTCTGTCTTGCTGCAGACTTTGAAAGAGCTAGAGACCCTGTGAAATCAAGGGGGTGAAAACCCATGCAAATGAGGGGTTTTAACTCATGGTATGCTGTTTCTGCAGGCCTGTGACATCAAGAGAAAACAGAAAAGAGACGGGAATTCCACCTTTGCCCACTGAAAACACATCTACCCAACTCCTCTGTCACAACCCCGAGATGGTTCTGCCATCTCCCAGCCCTGAAGACTGTGAGGTCATCTGACCACCTATTACATTGCTAAATATGGCAGGATGTCACCTGACTCGACATTAGGCTGCCCATCAATCATCACACCCCCTTGCTCCCACTTACTTTTCTATCACCCTGTAGAAGGTTCCCAACAGCTGTCCTGAAGTCCTCCAGGCTATAGAAACCACTCTTGAAACAGTATGTCAGCGTACCATTAGTGTCCTTCAACTCACACCCTCACTTTCCAGCCCCTCCTCTGTGAACGTCTCTCCTTACTTCTTCCACCAGCACTAATCAACCTAATGTTCCTTCACTCTTTTCTCCCCTCCCAGCTTCCCTCCAACCTGCACCCCATCCCCTCCATCCTTTCTCCTCTTTCTTTCCAATTCTCCACACCACAACTGAACACTTGTCAGAAACGGTGCCCCCCGGGCCCCTCCACACCTCCTGAAGCCCTGTCACTTCTTACCACCTCCAGCTCCCTGATGGCCCTGGGCCTCCCTCCCGACAGCTGGGGCCCTTCCTGGATCTCTACACATCACCAAGCTAAGCCAGTGTTCCAAAACAGTCTCCTGAACAACGATGACAACTGCACAGTTATTTTGGAAGGTGAGTGTGGCCAGAGTCCCAGAACAATGCAGGAAAGACAATGGGATGGCGGGCAGCAGGTAGCCTGGCCAGCTCTGTTTGTGCAGATGAATTCAGGAGCCTGGTATTTCTTTGAAGGATGACCAGAGAACGGATGAGCACTGAGGATCACACTGAGACCACGTCCCTAATGCTCCTAATCCCTTAGGACACAAGGACCTGAAAGACATAGAAACTGCTTCTCTGAAAATTGGCTTGGTTATTCTCCCAAAGTTGACCAGGATCCAGAGCTTAGACTGCAGGATGTCAGGGGCGTATGCTGAGGCCTAGCTGTCTTCAAGCTGCAGTTTCCAAGACAGCCCAGAATAGAGTCCAATCAGTACATGGCAATAATTTCTTCTTTGTTTTCTGTAAGTTTTATAAAAACATACATACAGAAATGTACATAAGTCGTAAGTTTACAGCTCAACGAATTTTCACAAAATGAACACACCCTCAAAACCAGCACCCAGATAAAGAGAATACAACAAAAACAGCAGCGGGCCTCCTCATCCCTGCCTCCAGCCAATAGTCCATCCCCCACCCCAGGATAAATGCAATCCCAGCTTCTAACATTGTGCATTGGTTTTGCCTGTTCTTTGAACTTTCTGTAGCAGAGTTACAGAATATGTACACCTCTGTGATTGGCTCATTTCAGTCAGCATAATGTCTGTGAGATTCATCCTTCTTGGATATAGTTCCAGTTAATTCATTATCATTATTGTATTGTATTGTATTCGATAAATATTACTACAATTCATTCATCCTTTCTACTCTCCGGCATTTGGGTAGTTTCCAGTTTGAAGGCATAAGTAGTAGAAGTATTATGAATATTCTAGGACGTGTTTGCATTAAACATGCATGCAGCTCTGTTGGGTACAGTATAGGCCTTGGAGTGGAATTAGTTCTCAGAAACAAAAGAAAATAAATTCGAGTTTGATATAGACTTGATCGTTGCAAGACACAGATTCCCTGATTGTAGTGAACCTGAGTTGGCCATGAGCAGTGGAAGGAGCGTGCTTGTTAAAAGGATAAATGTGATGCTGGGAGGCATGTACAGATCTCAAGAGATTATTCAGGGAAGCACCAGGTTTATTTTAAATGATGGGAAGAGGTATCAAATAAAGGTTATAAAAACATCCCAATAAATAAGGCCGATGGTGGGCTGATAATATCTTCAGAGAGCATGTTTAGGATCATATGGTTCTTCTTCAATCTTCTCTGCAGAACCTCCTGGCAGTTATGGCAGTGGAACATTGGAAACGGAGATGAACAGGAGGTGGGAAGAGGAGGCTAAGTGCATGTGGGCCTAAAAGTCCCTGCTTTGGGAGTTTTTTAACAGTCCTGGATGGAGGTAAGGAGGCAGGCGTGATTCTAAGATCTCAAGGAAAGGAGATTCCATGTCATTCTTCTCTTTCCTTGGCCCCTAGACTGTTTACAAATGAAATAATTTCATCAATGCTAGCAGATCCCCTCACTGAGACTTCCAAAGATTTTCATCAACAATGTTATGTCATTCCCAGTAACTCTTTGAAGGTCAATGACAGAATTAATTTTCCCATTTAAAAAAATGGAAACACGAAGACCCAGTGGAGTCCGCATTTTCTAGTTTTAGTCAGCCTTTCTGGAAGCTGTGTTCTGGTAACCACAGTGTCTCAGCTGTGAACTACGGGCAGGTCTACAGCATCATCTTCCATTCGCCATGTGGTTACTGCCCCTCTCATACAAACTACCTGCGTTACTCAGTCATCCAATATCAAGGACTATGCCACACTCCTTAGGGCAGGGGCAGAGACTTAGAGATTAATAAAACAGGCCGGGCACAGTGGCTTAAGCCTGTAATCCCAACACTTTGGGAGGCTGAGGTGGAAGAACTGCTTGAGCCCAGGAGTTCAAGATCAACCTTGGCAACATAGTGAGACTCCCATCTCTACTAAAAATAAAAAATTAGCCTGACGTGGTGGCAACCTTCCTGTGGTCCCAGCTACTTGGAAGGCTGAGATGGGAGGATCCCTTGAGCTCAGGAGGTTGAGGCTGCAGTGAGTTGTGATTGCGCCATTGCACACCAGCCTGGGCAACAGAGCAAGACTCTGTCTCAAAAAATAAATTAATTAAATAAAATTTAAAATAAAACCCTTTTAGAGTTCAAGTCTTAATCACCATATGGCTTTGGGCAACTTACTTTATCTCTCTGTGCCTCCATTTCCTAGACCTGGAAACAAAAATAAGAGAATGAAATTTATACAGCTTCTCAGAAGAGTATGTAAGTTAAGCCACACAAAGCATATAAATATCTGTCACTCAGTAGCCACTCAGCACATGGTAATTACAGAGCATGGCGCCATAAGAAGTTGCTGGGGAGGCAGACATATCAATGAATGCAGAAAGTATGTGAGGAATACTAAAATAGAAATTAAAGTGTCCTGTGACTTTTTCATCCACACAGATGAGTATCAAAGCTAATATCTCTCTGGGAGGATCATGGCAGACAGGAGGCAGACTAGATTGCAGCTCCCACTCAGGTGGACAGAGCAGCGTGTGGAGTATTGCATCATGAACTTTTGCTCCAGAATGACTGCAGGAATAAATCAGGAAAGCCAAGAGAACCCACAGACCTTCTGAAGGAAGTGAATTGCTCCTGCAGGACCTGGGAGACACCGTGAGTGCCCAAACTGTGGAAGTGGGAAAGGGGTGTTGTTCACCCCTAAACACAACCTCACTGGGGAACCTCAAGATCTAGATCACAGGAGAAGATTCTGACATTACCTGGAGCTGAGTCAATTCAGAGAGCCGTGTGAAATGCAGGGGTAGAGGAAGCAGTGGGAAAATCCCTGTGGGCTCTCTGGGTCCCCTGGAAAGCCATTTCTGCCTTGCCTCCCAGGGGCCATTGGGGAGGGCTACCAGAGGCACTGGGAAAACGCCACATAGAGAAGGAAGCCTCCAGCTGAACTTTGTAACAATTCCAACTGAACAAGAAGTCTACTGGGCAAAACTACAGGGAGGGCATGAATCCGGTGTGCAGACCACAGGCAGGGAAGCATGGAGGGTTCACAGCTTTCACAGCTGGGAGACTGGTAGCCTGGGGCAAGCTCTCAGCCCTGCTTGCCCACTGCCTGGACACAGACTCAGTGTGTTGAGCGGGGAATGATGAGAGTGAGACTGGCCCTTTGGGTTGTGTGGGAGCTGGGTGAGGCCTGTGACTGCCAGCTTTCCCTCACTTCCCTGACAACTTGCATGACACAGCAGAGGCAGCATAATCCTCCTAGAAACATAACTCCATTGACCTGGGAAGCACGACTCCAGCCCCCACAGCAGCCACAGCAAGACCCACTCAAGGAGAGTCTGAACTCAGACATGCCTAGCACTCCCCTCACTTAATGGTCCTTTCTACCCACGCTGATAGCTGAAGATGAACGGCATATACTCTCGGGAGTTCTAGGGCCCCACCCACCACCTGGTGTCTCCCATACTACCACAGCTGACGCTCTCCTGAAAGTGCCACCTCCCAGCAAGAGGCCAACCAGCACAAAAATAGTGCATTAAACCACCAAAACTAAGGATCCTCACAGAGTCCATCTCACTCCCGACCACCTCCACCAGAGCAGGTGTTGGTATCCACAGCTGAGAGACCCACAGATGGTTCATATCACAAGACTCTGTACAGACAACTCCCAGTGCCAACCCAGAGCCTGGTAGACCTGTTGGGTGACTAAATTCAGAAGAGAGATAATAATCTCTACAGCTCAGATCTCAGGAAGTCACATCCCTAGAAAAAGCGGGAGTACTACATCAAGGGAACACCCAGTGGGACAAAAGAATCTGAACAACAGCCTTGAGCTCCTACACCTTCCCTCCAACAGAGCCTACCCAAATGAGAAAGAACTAGAAAACCAACTCTGGTAATATGACAAAATGAGACTCTTTAATACCCTCCAAAAAATCACACTAGCTCACCAGCAATGGATCCAACAACAACAACAAAAAAAAAAACCCTGATTTACCTGAAAAAGAATTTATAAGGTCAGTTATTAAGCTAATCAAAGAGGTGCCAGAAAAAAGCAAAGCCCAATTTAGGAAATAAAAAAATACAAAAAATAAGGGGAGAAAGGTATCATATAATAAAAAGCAATCAAAACTTCAGGAACCAATGGATGCACTTACAGAAATTCAAAATGCTCTGGAAAGTCTCAGCAATAGAAGCGAATCTGCAAGAGAAAGAACCTTAGAGTTCCAAGACAAGGTTTTCAAAATAATCCAACAAAGACAAAGAAAAAAGAGTAAGAAAATATGAACAAAGCCTCCAAGAAGTCTGGGATTATGTTAAATGACCAAACCAAAGAATAATCAGCATTCCTGAGAAGAGGAGAAATCTGAAAGTTTGGAAAACATATTTGGTTATCCACTACTGGGTATCTACCCAGAGGAAAAGAAGTCATCATACAAAAAGGATACTTGCACACATGTTTATAGCAGCACAATTCTCAGTTGTAAAAATGTGGAACCAACCCATATGTCCATCAATCAATGAGTGGATAAAGAAACTGCCATATACATATACAATGAAATACTACTCAGCCATAAACAGGAATGAATTAATGGCATTCACAGCAACCTGGATGAGACTGGAGACTATTATTCTAAGTGAAGTAACTCAGGAATGGAAAACCAAACATTGCACATTCTCACTCATATGTGGGAGCTAAGCTATGAAGATACAGAGATATAAGAATGACACACTGGACTTTGGGGACTCAGGGAGAAAGGGTGGGAAGGGAGTGACGGATAAAAGACTACTACAATTTGGGTGCAGTGTCTACTGCTCGGGTGATGGGTGCACCCAAATCTCACAAATCACCACTAAAGACCTTACTCATGTGACCAAACATACCTGGTCCCCAATAACCGATGGAAATAAAATAATTTTTTTAAAAAAACGAAACTAGGCTGCACGTGGTGGCTCGCGTCTGTAATCCCAGCACTTTGGGAGGCCGAGGCAGTGGATTACCTGAGGTCAGGAGTTTGAGACCGGCCTGGCCGACATGGTGAAACCCTGTCTCTACTAAAAGTACAAAAATTAACCGGGCGTGGTGGCACACACCTGTAATCCCAACTACTCGGGAGGCTGAGGCAGGAGAATTGCTTGAGCCCGGGGGACAGAGGTTGCAATGAGCCGAGATCATGCCACTGCACTCCAGCCTGGCCAACAGAGCGAGACTCTGTGTCAAAAAGAAAAGAAAAAGAAACTAATAGGGAACAAAAGCTAGTATCACTCTTACACGAGATCTTTAGGTATTATACAGTAAAACTATCTCAATCTCAGTAAGAACTAATAAATAAAATGGCAATAAGGGACTTTTATGCATCCAAAACTTTCAGGCAAAGATCATAAGTTCTCTAGCATCATTACATGTCCAGGTTATATTTATCGAGCCTTACTTGTTCCTTCCCACACATTAACATTTCAGAATTATATATCATTGATAACAGGTATTCTCTAAACTCACCTGACAGGGTTAATATCAAAAAATAAAAACAAAATTAATGGCATTTAAATAAAAATAGCCTCTGGCTTGAGCCCATCCTGGTGACGATAGTGAAATTCCAGCATCCCCCCAATCTTCTCAGAGTTCTTGGATGGCCTGAGAATGATCCCCACAGCCTCTAGACAGTACCAGCAACGTTCTTGCAAGATGCTCCCCTCCTTCTTTCAATTGGTTCCACCTCTGTCTGCTAAGGCTGCTTTCCTTTCTCTCTTATGGCTCACTTTACTGATACTGAACTCCTCCCTTCCCAATATTGAGATCTACTGTGTCCTGGGGCTGGGGCTGTACCTCTCCCGTATCACTCCCCCGCTCCTCACCACCACTGCTTCTGTCCTGAGCCACAAGCCCTCAGCTAAGCCACAGCCAGCAAGTGTGTGTTTCAGTCCAGAGGCAGAGCTGGAGGCCACTTGCTCCAGAAGAAAACGTGCACTTTACTTTCTTACCTTGCTGCATCCACAAGAGGGAGCCTCGTGCCAGCTTCTCCAGTCAGAGTGGTAGCCCCCAAGACTTCCTCTTCCATCCACCTTTAGGTGCAGCATCCAACAAGGTCAAAATCACAATGTCTTGCATCTAATCAAAAATTACCAGGCATGCAAAAAAACAGGAAAATAGGACCCTTAATATAGAGAAAACAAACATGAAAAACAACCCAGAAAAGACACAGACTATAGAATTAGTGGAAATAGTTATTATAATTGTATCCTATGTGCTCAAAAATTTAGAAGACTGAACGTGTTGGCAGATATATTTTTTAAAATACCTTTTTCTGAAATTAAAACTACAATGTCTAACATGAAAATACATTGGATGAGATTAACAGCAGATTAGACACTAAGAAGAAAAGATATGTGAACTTGAAGACAGCAATAAAAGGCATTCAAATTGAAATACAAGGAGAAAAAAACGACTGAAAAGAAACGAGAAGAGCATCAGGGCATTGTGGGACAACTTCAATCAGTCTGAAAAATGAAAAGATGCTTCCAGATCTAAAAAAGAACCCTTTAAATTTTCAAAGAGCCCATCAGAATTTTTAATAGCTCTATTAGAAAAAGGAATTTTCATTTTGCTGCTTAAGTTCCAGCAGGCCAATCTTTGTGATGAATCCCTTGGGATGTTGCCAATCCAGACAGGCAGCTCTTAAGGTGACACAACAGTCATCCCAGGACTTACCATCACATCAGTCATTTTGTTACTGTCTTTAATCATGTAAAATACTTGACTAATGAGGGTTCCTTCCAGAAATGCAAAAGTTATTCAACAATAGGAATCCTGTCTACATCAATCATTACATTTATAAATTAAGAGGAAAACCCACATGATTTCATGAATTAATATAAAAAGGCATTTCTCTAATATTTAACAGCATTCTAATAAAAACATTAACATAGGAATAGAGAGAAGCTATCTAAACAAGATGAAAACTGTTTACCAAAACAGAATTCTATTTTTAATCATGATGGAATAATAGGGACTAGATGTACCTTCCCTCCTCGCATAACTAAAAGTTGGACAAAATATGTGAAGCAAAAGTTTTCAGACATTGGACAACAGGTAGTGCAAGACTGTGATCCCTGAGAGAAAGACAAGTGAGATGAGCCCTGCAAATACCCCCAGCTCACTTCCTGGAGAATTTCCAGGCTGACCACAGGAAAAAGATACCGAAACAGAGTCCAACAGTCTCACTGATTAAGGAGACAAAGTTTAGAGTTCCAGTAGGGCAAAATGAGAAAAAATTGTGAGGCAAAGTACAAAGAAAAAGAACAGCAGAGAGTGAGGGTTCCAGAGATCTGCAGAGCAGTCCCTCAAGACTTTGGCTGAGTACTGCTATGCGCTTGTATAAGGAGACTACTGAGGCTGGGGAAAGAACAGCAGAGAAGAGTAAGCAGAACAATTTCAGGAGTTCACACAGGACCAGAAATAGTGTCTTCCCTAGCCAGTTTGGGAAGATCTCCTAATATGGTGGGGCATTGGGTACAGTTCTCAAAAGCTTATTGCTTCAGTGGGGCCAAATTAACCCTCAGTGTAAAAGTAAAGTATCTAAAGGAATGTTTAGAAATCCAGCACCCAATAACATAAAGTGTACAATGTCTGGCATTCAATAAAAGATTACCTGGTATGCAAATAAGCAGCAACATATGACCCAGTACCAGAAAAAAAAAATCATTCTATAGACATAGACCTATATATGACTCAGATGTTAGAATTTGCAGGCAAGGACATCAAAACAAGAATTATAAATTCACTCCATACGTTCAAGAAGTACAAGAACGTATAAGTATAGTCAGGAGAAAAATGAAATGCCTAACTAAACTTCTAGAAATGAAAAATACCATAACTAAACTGAAAAATACATTGGCAGGATTAACAGCAGATTAAATGCTACAAGAGGAAAGATTTGTGAATCTGAAGATATAGCAACAGGAACTATCCAAATTAAACACTGAGAGAAAATATAAGCCAGAAAAAAACTAAACAAAGCATCAATAAGTTGTGGGACAATATAAAGTAGCCCAACATATACGTAACTGGAGTATCCAGAAGAGGGGAGAAAAATAATACTTGAAAAAAATGGCCATTTTTTTCCCAAATTTAATGAAAATAATTAACCCACATGTATTAGGGCTCTACAAAGAAACAGAAGGAATAGGATATATATATATAGTATTAATGTTAGTATTATACTGTACATAGTTTATATATATAAAATATATTACAGGTGTGAGCCACCATACCTAGTGTATGTATTATTTATATATGTAAATATGTGGTATTTTCACTAATATAAATATATTGGTAACATATAACTGTATTTACATATACGAACATATTAGAGGGAGAGAGATTTATATGAAGAATTGGCTCACGCAGTTATGAAGGCCAGGAAGTGCCATGATCTGCCATCTTCTAGTCAGAGACCCAGGAAGGCCAGTGCTATAATTCAGCCAGTGGTTGAGTCCATCCAGAAGCACTCTCATGGACACACCAAAAATTATGTTCAACCTGCACGGCCCATGGCCCAGTCAAGTTGACACATAAAATTTATTATCACAAGTCTACCCTTTGTCAACTTGGCACCCATACACGTCTCCTCAAACCAAACTTATTTTCCAAATAAAAATAATAGGTCGTAATTCTGCCTATCTTAATACTACCCTGGATACAATAAAAAACACCGTAACTTCTTTCCCAGATGAGGAGGTAAAATCCTTGAAAGAAGTTTACTCTTTGATATCCTGTAACACTTGGCTGGGTGCAGTGCCTCACACCTGCAATCCCAGCACTTTGGGAGGCCAAGGCAGGCAGATCGCTTGAGCTCAGGAGTTCAAGACCAGCCTAGGCAACACGCTGAAACACCAACTCTACAAAAAAATACAAAAATTAGCCAGGCATGGTGGTATGTGCCTATAGTCCCAGCTACTTGGAAGGCTGAGGTGGGAGGATGACTTGAGCCCAGGAGGCAGAGGTTGCAGTAAGCCAAGATTGTGCTACTGCACTACAGCCTGGGTGACAGAGCCAGACTCTGTCTCAAAAAATATTAATTAAATTAAATTTACAATACTTAAATAGTATGATATAAAATAGTATAAATACACCTTATGTTACATGATAAGGGCATAAATGTGGAAGGATAACAAAGATACACACACAAATGTGTTTACGCAAAATAAGGAGAAAATAGACATGGCAATTTACCATCTTTGTTTCCGTAATTGGCCACATGGTCATGGCCAGTATTTACAACTACCTTTTCCCACCACCCATTCTGTATTCCCATTGCCTTCAGCAAGCACCTCAGCTTTATCCAGTAGGGCAACCTCAACTTTTATTCCTGAAGGGTCTGAGCCATTTGTAGCCCTGCCTAGTTGGGTTGTAGTTTTCTATTGACATAAAACACAGGGCACGGTAATACTAAAAGATACCCTAAGGAATCTCCTGTATTCTGGATATACTTTTCCTTAACTCCATTGTGGAATAGTAGTCCAATTTCCCCCTTGGTAGTCAGGACCAATCATCCCAGCCAATACTGTAACTCCCTTCTTTACCTATTAATTGAGAAATATGAGGACCCCAAAGTGGCCAAGCAGGGGTCTTAACTTCCAGTTCTTGGGATCATTGTTGTGTCTCCTGGTGGAAATATCCCCGCCTTATGGAAATATCCCTTCCTCTAGAACTAAGACCTCTAGGTCAGCAAAGCATAAAGTCAGGAACAGGAAGCAAAAATTTTGCTAGTGTGTCACTCGGGGTAATAGTGAGTGGTGCCATTCCCACTTTTGTCCTTTGATTTCCTGACCTGTGAGTGCTACTAGCTACAGGAGAAACAAGATCTTATATTGGACTCTGATTCATAGCATATACTGCCTTCTAGGGAACTTCACTCCACCCCCGCAAGAAATTGCCACCTAGCTGGTGTCGTAACTGAGACTTCAAAATGCTATTCCACTGTTTTATCAAGCCAGTTGCTTCAGGATGATGGGGAACATAATCAGACCAGCAAATTCCACGGGCATAGGTCCACTGCTGTGTTTCTTTTGCTGTAAAGTGAGTTCCTTGATCAGAAACAACGCAATGTGAAATACTACAATGATGAATAAAGCATTCTACAAGCCCATGGATGGTAGTTTTGGCAGAAGCACTGTGTGCAGGGAAGACAAAACGATATCCAGAGTGAGTGTCTATCACATTAAGAACAAACACTGTCCCTTCTATGATGAAACGTCCCCACATAATCAACCTACCACGAGGTGGCTGTGTGATCACCCTAGGGACTCAATGTTGGTCTCTGCTCAATGTTGACCGTATCAGGGACTCAATGTCGCTCTCTGCTGTTGGCAGATTGGACCTTCAGCAGTGACTGTAAGCCAGGTTGGCCTTGTTGAGTGAAGTCCACGTTACTTTACCAAGCATAACCTCCATCACTGCCATCACGGTCACTTTGTTCATGAGACCATTAGGCAATGACAGAGGTAGCTGAGAAAAAAGGGCAAGCAGTATCCGCAGAATGGGTCATCTTGTCCACTTGATTATTAAAATTCCCTTTGGTGAATATTCACATGGGACACAAATATCACCATGTGTTTTGCACACTCAGAGAAGTCTGTCCATATATCTCTTCCTTAAATTTGTCACCAATTTTCCAATCATGTTCCTCTCAATTCCCTGAACATCCAGCCAAACCACTGGCCACAGCCTGAAGTGATATATAATCACAGGTCTGGCCATTTCTCCTTCCAAGAAAAGTGCACAATCAGATGCGCTGCTCAAAGCTCTGACTAGTAAGATATCCCTGTCTTTCAGGGACATCCCAGTAAGAGGTTCTAGTACTGCAGCTGTCCACTTGTGGGTGGTGTCTGCATATTGTGCAGAACCATCTGCAAACCAGGCCTGAGTCTTCTCCTGTCGATTGATCATAGGGAACTCCTGGTAACACCACAGGTGCAGGCAGTGGGAGAGAAGGCAGTGCTGCAAAAGTAGATACCATGAGCATTTGGGCCACTTCTTCATGGAACTTACGTGTGCCTTCAGGGCCTATTCCAACCGGATCATGTATGTACTACTTCCATTTGATGATGGAGTGCTGTGTATGCCAAATTTTATGACTCGGTGGATTGGATAACACCCAGTTCATGAATAGGCAGCTCAGGTTGCATGGTAACTTGGCGGCCCCTGGTCAAACATTCAGTCTCTACTAAGGCCCAGTAGCAGACCAAGAATTGTCTCCCAAAAGAAAAGTAGTCATCTTTGGAGGACAGCAGGGCTTTTTTCCAAAATTCTATTTGCTTGCACTGTGATTCTTCCATTCATCTCTATCTGCCATTGACACCTCAAGCACCATGGGTCCACTGGATCATATGACTGAAGCAGGAGAGCAGCTTGCACAGCAGCCTGGTCCTGTTGCAGAGCCTTCTCTTGTTGTGGGCCCCACTCAAATCCAGCAACTTTTTGGGTTACTGGGTAAATGGGCCAGAGTAACACTCGCAAATGAGGAATGTTGACTCTAAAATCTTAAGAGGCCCACTTTCTTGGTTGTAGGAGGGGCCAGATGCAACAACATACCCTTCACTTTAAAAGGGTTGTCTAGCCATGCTCCACGCCACTTGATGAATAGACATTTTGCTGACATACAAGCAAAATTTGCCTGAATTTTAGGCAAGTCACACAAACGTCTTACCAATAAGTCTAGAGTAGTTGTTATTTCTTACTCACCAGGTCTAATCAGCATTTAAAATGCTGGAGGAAAAAAAATCTAAAAAAAGGATCACTAAGATTAGAACAACATCAAGTAGCCTAACAACCGTATAATTGAAGTTCCTAGGAAAAAGGAGGAAAAAGAAAAAAAACTTGAAAAAAGCAGCCATTTTTTCCAAATTTAATGAAAATTATTAATCTAAATATTCGAAAATAGGCTGTGCATGGTGGCTCATGCCTGTAATCCCAGCACTTTGGGAAGCCAAGTCGGGCAGATTACCTGAGGTCGGGAGTTCAAGACCAGACTGGCCAACATAATGAAACCCTGTCTCTACTAAAAATACAAAAATTAGCCAGGCATGGTAGTGGGTGCCTGAAATCCCAGCTACTCAGGAGACTGAGGCAGGAGAGTGGCTTGATCCTGGGAGGGAGAGGTTGCAGTGAGCCAAGATCACACCACTATACTCCAGCCTGGGAGACAGAGTGATACCCTGTCTTAAAAAAAAATAAAAATAAAAATAAATAAATATTCAAAAATATAAACTATCCTCAAGTAAGATAAACATTTATTTAAAACACCAAGGCACATCATAAACACATTGCTGGAAAGCAGTGATAAAAAAAACTTTAAAGTAGTCAGAGGCACACTGCAATGACAGCAAACTTCCTAGGGTGAATGTAAGCCAAGAAACAATAGTGAGGCCACTTTAAAATACTGAAAGAAACTGCCAGTCTAAATTTCTATACCCAGTGTAATGGTTGGCTGGAGCTACCTTAACAAAGTACCACAAACTGGGTGCCTTAAACAATGGAAATGTATTGTCTTACTGTTCTAGAGGCTAGAAGTTTGAGATCAAGGTGTCCACAGGGTTGGTTCCTTCTGAAGGCTATGAGGAATACTAGGTTCCATGCCCCGTTGGTTGCTTCTGGCGGTTTGCTGGCAAGCTTTGGAATTCCTTAGCTTCTGCTGCTTCACACCAACTTCCGCCTTCATTTTCACCTGGCATTCTCGCTCTTCAGTGTGTCTCTGTCCAAATTGCTCCTTCTGATAAGGACACCAGACATACTGGATTAGGGCCCCATTCTATTCCAGAATGAACTCATCTTAACATAACTAATTACATTTGCAATCACCCTATTTCCAAATTAGCTCAGATTCTGAGGTACCCAGGATTAGGACTTAAATATAAGAATTTGCGGGAACATGATTCAACCTACAATACTCAGTAAAAGTATCTTTTGGTAGGGCATAGTGGCTCACACTTGTAATCCCAGCACTTTGAGAGGCCGAGGCAGGCAGATCACCTGAGGTCGGGAGGTTGAGACCAGCTGACCAACATGGAGAAACCCCGTCTCTACTAAAATTACAAAATTAGCCAGGCGTGGTGGTGTGTGCCTGTAATCCCAACTACTCTGAAGGCTGAGGCAGGAGAATCGCTTGAACCCAGAGGCAGAGGTTGCAGTGAGCTGAGACTGCACCATTGCACTCCAGCCTGGGCAACAAGAGTGAAACTCCGTCCCCCACAAACAAAAAAATAAAAAAGACGTACCAAAAGGCAAAAAACACAACTTGAAAAAATGGAGCAAACATCAGAACGAGACTTAGACATGTCAGGGACGTTGGAATTATCAGACCAGTAATTTAAAACACCCATGATACATACGTGAAGGGTTCTAGTAAATAGCATGCAAGAACTAATGGACGGGCCGGGCGCGATGGCTCAGAACTATAATGCCAGCACTTTGGGAGGCCGAGGCAGGCGGATCTCCTGAGGTCAGGAGCTTGAGACCAGCCTGACTAACTTGGTGCAAACCTGTCACTACTAAAAATACAAAACATTAGCTGGGCGTGGTGGCGGGAACCTGTAGTCCCAGCTACTCAGGAGGCTGAGGCAGGAGAATGGCGTGAACCCAGGAGGCAGAGCTTGCAGTGATCCGAGATCGCACCACTGCACTCCAGCCTGGACGACAGAGTGAGACTCCATCTCAAAAAAAAAAAAAAAAAAAAAAAAAAACCCCTCACTCTAAGACTATTTAATTTTCCTGATACACAGTTCATACCAAAAAGGTAAGATAAATGCTCAATTCTTTTCCTTTTAATTACTAATTTTTAACAAATAATTTGGTGCCTTAGCAATCTCCAAAACTGTCTAATTGGTTTTATTTATCTTTCTCTTTTGAACTATAAATTAATGATTTTTATGAATTCAATGTTTTTATATATATTCAATATGTTATAAGTTGTTGGCATTATGTTGGGTTTTCAAATTATCCCATAGTTAGACAGAACGTCCCTTCAAGCTAGCTCCTGTTTTCTCTTGACAAACTCCTTTTTCTTTTAACCTAGGTTTCCCCAAGTTAGAGCCAAAGAAAAGGGCTTCTGTGTAGGTAGTGCATTTGGGAAGGTGATTCCACAGAGCAGGAGTGAATGCCATGGGGAATGCTAGGAAGAGGGGACATGTTGGCCACTGGGAGCCTTTTTCTTTTTTTCTAACTTGTACTTTTTGAGGAGCATTTTAAAACATGTCTCAGAATTCTCCACCTAATGGCAAAGAGGTGAAGCATTTATACACTGGCTGCTACTCCTCACTGATCAAGAGTAACCTCCTGGGTTACTCCACCCAAATTCCCAGTTGCACTTGCATGACCATTAGGTGGGTTCCTACCAAGTTTCTATACCTAGGAAAGAGTCAGATACACTCTAGGGTAGAAAACAAGTGATCAGTAGCACAACCAGACAGGAAACATTATCTGTTTATCCCTGTACAAAACCTGTCAAAGCTTGCATAAACAACTGACCACAGCTACGACCGAAATAAGAGGTGAGGCTGGGAGGACTTTAAATGTTGCACAAGAGGTGTCTGGTGCTGTTCACTCTGAGCTATTCATGCATCTCATAAGTCTAGTCTATCACAGAACCTCCTTCAACAGTGATCAGCCACAATTTCTGCAAAGATTCCATGTAAGTGAAACAAATTACAGTTCCCACTGCTCAGCAGGTCCAAGGCCATGATTGGGATCGTCATCACATACCACCTTCATCCTCACTTCAGCCTGCAGCATACTTCTGAAAAGAAGTTAATCTCTTGAGGGTTTTGTGGGGCTTTTTGCCTTTGAGTATACATGTGATTGCTATATTGTAAATGCAAATTCCTGAAAGACTGTTTCTGAAAGCAGAATGATGCAGCAGAAAATGAAAAGGTCTTCCTCTTACTCCAGCAGTGTCTTGTCTTCAAAGAGAAGTCCATGACATCTTGCCTTGATTTTTACGGTTGTGTTCTTGGATGGAAAGCTTAACTGGGTAGTAATTTCCAAATGTTCTTTATAACCACTCTGTATATTACAAGCAAAATTGTTTCATATTTTGTTGTATCTTTTCCTGTTTAGCACTTCAAGCTTTTTAGTCTATTGCATTTGAGAATGTAGTTTAGAAATTATTTCACTGTTAAAGCCATGTGAAAACTAATAGAGGACAATGAAAATGAGTGTGTGTTATTTTGTATTTAACTTACTGTTTTGTGGTGTGTGTAAACAAAACATTAGAAATATGTTGTCTTTTTATAATAATGCTCTTTGACCTCATTTAAAGTGATCTGCCATGAGGTCTCAATGATCAAGTTTTTGTTTATTCTAGTGTGTTTTATTCTAATACCTAAGGAATTCAGCCAACTTTTTTTCTATCATCAGATAGTCTCAGAAAATAATGTGCTTTATCTATATTATTGCCTCTTTTCAATATTTAAGAGAATAATTGTCTTCTGGTTTCTACTGAGCCTAGTAATAATCACTAAAGACCTAAAAAAAGTGAGTAATTTTTTTCTTCCATTAGAGTATTTGGATAGCCCTTTCAAGATAATGGTGGTGTGAAAATGAATCATCCAAGCTTTTCTGCCATATCTAAATTTTGAATAATATCCACTTCCAAAAATTTCAAATATTGTCTTATAGCAGTCACTACCACCTGCATTAATCCTGTATATTCAGTGGATGTGAAGTCATAATTTGGTATTGTATCAGAAATAGTGTTAGTCACTGGTCTTGCTCTTTGAACATTATTTTCATTTGTAAAATTAGGGAATTGGTTTGTTATGATGGGAAATAAGTTAATTTTCAGGGTCCTGAGAAAGTTGCTCCATTCATGGCAGTGCTTGGGATAACTATAGTAACTTTTTTTCAGGTATTTGGTGTCATGTTTTGTAGTTAATGTTTAGTGCTTACATAATTTTTAATTATTACATAATTTTTATTGGTATCTTACCTTTTTGGTATGAACTGTGTATCAGGAAAATTAAATAGTCTTAGAGAATGAGTTTTTTTTTTTTTTTTGAGACGGAGTCTCACTCTGTCGTCCAGGCTGGAGTGCAATGGTGCCATCTCGGCTCACTGCAAGCTTTGCCTCCCAGGTTCACGCCATTCTCCTGCCTCAGCCTCCCGAGTAGCTGGGACTACAGGTGCCCGCCACCATGCCCAGCTAATTTTTTGTATTTTTAGTAGAGACGGGGTTTCATCATGTTAGCCAGGATGGTCTCGATCTCCTGACCT